GTTAAGGCGAAAACTTTTTATTTTTATTTTTGATGCAAGTTCTCCAAGAACAGAATTAAACAACAAGGAAATAAAAACAACTACCTTGTTTGTTGAGATAAGATCAAAATGGTATCGGTCACGTGACTTTCTTCAAGCGATACGCGCACCGATACGAGGTTTCGCTCCATGAGCTCCAAACATGCCCCGACGCATCACTCGAAAAAATTCAACCTCACGCTTAGTTTTGTGTTCGACTGAGGTTTGTTTTCTGTCAACTTGTCATCATTTGCACATTTCTGGCCAATCAAACCTCTTTGCGTCATTTCTCCCAGGCTAGATTTACAATTTATCAGTTGCTAAATACACCATGCTAGAACATAGTGCTTGTAGAGTTATGAAACATGGCGGGTTGCCAGCACAGGCAGAAGTTATATTGAAGGCTCCAGTATTTCAGATAAAACTTGTGCTTGATTCCATTCGATAAAACTCCTCACATGTAAATAAATACATACAGTGAAATGATAATGTGACATAAATGTGATGCTGTGACAGGATTCCAGCGCTGTTTTTGTTCGTTTGGAGAGAAACACCAGTCTCACTCCAACCTGATACTTTCTGGTGTTTGTTTTTATCCGTCCTCAGTGGTTGGAAATGCAAAACTTGTTAATATTGTTTAAAGACGCTGCATGAACATCCGGTATGGAGGTGCAAGGATGGGTGACGTGCATGGTTACTGGTGTGGATCTGCAGGCCCTGATACGCATCTGTGCTCCACTTTCTGAAAAACCTGCTTTGTAAAATGCTGGTGTTTCTGTAAATGTTGTTCTTTTTTTTTTTTTTAACACAGGCTACATCGTTCTCAGCCGTCACTACCATGCTGGTGTGTCTGCCTTAAGCCATGGGTTTTTATTTATTTCTTAGGGCCCGAGCACTACAGTGCGTAGGATCCTCCCCACTGCACAAAGACACGTCGCAGTGACGTCTTTTCTTAGTCGTTTTTGGACGTCCAGTTTTGGTCATAGGCAGGTGCAGACTGTAACGCCAGAAGACGTCTTTTTCCGACGTCTACCGAGCATCTAGTATTGAAGGAATCTTTTTTCCTCTCTGGAAGCTCTTTTATCTGTTTTGAACATTTTTTTCTCTCAAAAACTGGCTCACAGTGTAAATGCAGTGCTGTCATGCTGACAAAGAAAGGCAAAGATAGTTGTTATCTTGTTTGTTTATCGTGATTGTACTTCTGTTTTGCATTAATTTGGTTGAGGTTCATTGATGGCAAATACAGCAGCTGTAAATTACAAGGATGTGAACTAACTGTAAGTAAAAGGAAGAAGCTTGAAAGCCACAAACTACACAGTCACACACAATTATTAGTCAAACATAGGAGCTTAAAAAACAAACATCTTTCTGTGTGTCCATCTAGATAGTGACTTCGCAGAGAAAGAGGAAAAACTTGAGAGGAAGGTCAAGCCCAAGCCGCGTTCGTCTTTAAAGCGAGCGGCAGGGAAAACCTCGTCTTCCAAACCCACCTCCAGCGCCGCCGTCAAAACTACTAAATGCTTCCAGTCGCCGGTGAAGGAGGAGGAGGACAGCGAGGATGCTGGGAGGAGAGTGGTAGGCAAGTGAGAGATCTGTAAAATGGTTTTTATTTTTTGTATACCAAAGTGATAAAGTTGGAAAATGTAATTTTCAGAAAGGCTGTATCATGTTGAGAGAACGATGGGCGACAAGGTGAAAACTTTGTGTGTTTGTGTTGATCAGTGTTGCCTCACCTGATTATACCTAAACCACCAATACACTTCCACCCCCCATTCGAGTTCAAGCCCGAGAAATTGGTGACCATGGACGATTGGTGAGTGAATATGTGTAATAAAGTGCTGAATTAACATGTGGAAGATTGTTTAGCAGTGATACTTGCTGATGTGAACAAAAGTTTACATTCACGTGTAAAGACCAGTCAAGTCAGCTTTATTGTCAGTTTGGCCATGTGTACTTACAGAGAACTGAAATTGCAATACTCTGAGGTCCCACGGTGCAAAATGAACATCGAAGAAAAGTATCCAAAGAAAAATAGAGCATAGCTATAAACAGGATATAGACAATAAACATTGAATGCAACTCTAGCTAGAAACAATAGACAATAAGGTGCAACATTGGAGTGTTCAGATGTGTTATTGGTAGTAAATAGGTTGTTGATATCATGGCAGCCTTGAGATTTCAATTACTCCTGCACTCCTGTAACTCGTTCCATGATAAAATCTTTCTTCTTTGTCACAAAAAGCAATCAAGCATTTTGGTCTTCCATAGATTTATTGTAGATCTTCTGTAAATGTGACAAAAATCTGCTGAGTCAAAAATAATACCTACAGCAACTTGAATTATCAGTGATGGTGATGTAGAAAGTCTAGGAAATGTAATTTTCTCAGTGGCTTGACCTCTTAACTTCCCACTTTAGTATTGTTCAGGGTCCCAGCGGGATGAAGACAGTCTCCCAGCAGGACGCACGGATGACCAGAGCCGCAGTCACGTCTGCAGCCGGGACAGATTCCTGAGGGAACGTGGAATGAAAATGAGACGGGAATCACATCAAACGCACTTCTAGTCAGTAAAGTTAGACGAACTTTAGTTAAATGTTAATGTGCCAGTTCCAGGAAAACAAACAGTATATTCACAATACCTTCATAGCGGTACAGAATGTAACATTTGGACAAGAGCAGAATTTAATCACCTCCTAAAGACAGAAAAATTGCAGTTGTACCATGATGTGACCTGCTGTATATTCACTCCTCAAGTGACATAGAGTAGCAACAGATAGAGACTTAACTCTGCTCCAGATGACCAGAGATGAGCATTTCTGCTGCTTTTTTTCACATCAGTGATTTGTCCTCGCTCACCAGTTGATTTGAACAGACCCACGGCCTCTTGTCCCTGTTGTCAGCATCATAAATCATATTCTTCTCCTGTTTTTGTCTGAATATTACTTCTTCTCAACACATTATTCCAGACACGATGATTCTGTGGATTAAAATAAATATAGAACAAGAAAAAATCCATTTCAAACCTTCTCATATGTTAGATTTTCACACTTTTGTTAAGTAAAAATAACATAACAGGTGATTTTTGTGTGTACAATATTGGAATTAAATCATACATGTTGATGTGGACACCATATTACATAGTTTTGAACCTCCCACATTCAGGACAGCCACTGGTTTCTATCAGACAGAGGTTATAAGTGGCTCACACATATTACAGGTGAGAATTCACAGCAATATGGTGTAACTATTAACCTGAAATGTGCTGAATAAATCCATCACATTTTATTAAGGCTGCATCAAAGTCATGTTATTATTATGTAAATGAAACTGATGAAGTCGAAGAGACGAAAGCTGCTGGTAAGATTCAATTTCAATTCAATTCAATTTTATTTGTATAGCGCAGTTTATAACACGTTATCACACAGCGCTTAACAAAGTAAGGTGAGTAGCTTTTGGACTTCCTTTGAGCAAGCAGTTGGCAACGGTGGGAAGGAACCAAACCAAAAACCTCCAGGAGAACCAGGCTCAGGAAGGACGGCCATCTGCCTCGACCGGTTGGGTGAGAGTGGGGATGAGTGGGGATGAGTGGGGGTGGGGAACAGGATAGCAGATGGAGAGCCGTAATAGAGCAGAGCAAGAGATATGAATATAAGTATTTTGGGGATCGGTGAGGCCAGTGGCTGGAGGTCAGGGACGTGTAGCTCCGGATCCAGAGACGTCCGCAGGGAGCACAGGACCTCGGGGGAAACGCAGAGTTAGTGACATTTAATGGTGGTTACAACAATATGGAAGGAAGAGAGAGGAGAGGAGAGGAGCTCAGTACATCATTAGAATCCCCCGGCAGTCTTTAAAGTTTTTAGTTTTTAACTCCAGTGTTTCCTTAGGGGGGGGTCCTCCACACTGGGGGCTGTGTCCGGTCTGCTGCTGAGGGTGCCGTCTGTTGGTCCCTCTGGCCCGGCTGGTTGGGGGGCTCCCCACCTCGTTGTGGGGATCCCCCTGTCTGCCGGGTTGGGGGGGGTCCGGGTGCCGGCGCCCCCAGTGGTCATGGTCTGCGACTCCTCCCGGTGTGGATGGCCCCAGTGGTAGATTTTCCCACAATCCCTCAGTGCCATGCCATGCTTCCTTTAGTCTAGTGGTGAGTGTGTGTGTGTGTGTGTGTGTGTGTGTTTGTGTGCATTTGCCATATGTGTATGCGTATGCATGGAGAGTGGGAGGGATGGGTTTCCTTTTACAAAAATGTTTTAAATGCCATAAAGCACTTTGTGTTGTTGCAAGAAAAGTGCTATATAAATAAAATTGGATTGATTAATTGATAAAGCTATAGCAGCATAACTAAGGGACAGTTCAGGTGATCCTCTAGCAGCCCTAACGATAAGCTTTATCAAAGAGAAACGTTTTATGCACAACCTTAAAAGCAGAGCGGACGTCTGCCTCCTGAACCCAAACTGGGAGCTGATTCCATCAGACAGGAGCTGATAACTGAAGGCTCTGCCTCCCATTCTGCTTCTGGAAACTCTGGGAACCACAAGTAGACCTGCAGTCTGAGAGCGAAGTGCTCTGTTCGGATGATACGGTACGATAAGATTTTTAAGGTAAAATGGAGTTTGGTCATTGAGAGTTTTATATGTTAAAAGCAGGATTTTAAATTCTATCCTGGATTTTACAGGGAGCCAATGAAGAGAAGCTGATACAGGAGAAATATGAGCTCTCTTACTGGTTCCTGTCAGAACCCTGGCTGCAGCATTTTGGATCAGCTGGAGGTTTTTAAGAGACTTTTTGGGATATCCTGATAATAAGGAATTACAATAGTCCAGTCTAGAAGTTATAAATGCATGGACTAGTTTCTCAGCATCATTCTGAGACAGGATGTTCCTGATTTTCACATTTTTACGTAAATGAAAAAGGCTGTCCTACAAGCTTGTTTTATATGGCTATTGAACGACATGTCCTGGTCAAAAATAACTCCAAGGTTCTTTACAGTAGAACTGGAGGCCAAGGCAATGCCATCTAGAGTAGCTCGGAGGCTGCAGAACTGGCACGATCTTGACCAGGTTGGCAGGAATGGCAGATATATTTGATTACCACTAAATCAGATGAAACATTTACAAAATCTGGCGGCCCTTTAACGCCAGCTGTCTTTAAACACTGGAGCCTGGAGTTTCTCTACAGTTGAACTCATTATGTATGCTTGTGGCTAAATGCTTGGAATATAAAAATAAACAGACCACGTTGGTGCCAGATGGTTGTGAAGCGACGCAACACGACGTCTGTTTTGTGAAGCCCCATGAACGTAGATCTTCATATGTCACCGCGAGGCAAACTGTCAGGATGACACTTTAATACGAGGAGCTGGAATGGAGACAACGGCCTCTTCGGTGGCCTCACCTGAGCATCTCGCCTGTGATTTGTTGAGCTCTTAAACTCTAAATATGGCGTAGCACCGCCCCCTACTGTCCAAGTCTGGTGCTGCATGTTTGTAAAACAGCAGGACTGATGTAAATATAACTTCTTGTCAGCTCTGTGGAGAATCTGAAGAGTTTCACCCTTCAAGGTCCACTGATACAAAGTCATATATACCATATCTAGATTTTCTAAAAGCTATATCTGGGTTTTTTTTTCTTTTTCTAAGACCACATTTACATCGTCAGTGTAACCCAATAGGGTGGTAGATAGGTAGAGATTAATAAATACTTTTTTCATCCACTTGGGGAAATTCAAGGTGTCCAGTAGTTTACACATATTACATGTAAGAAAAAAACGAACAAGTTAGGATGCAAGAAAAAACAATAAACGGTGTGAGCAGAATCTAAAAAGGTATAAATACTGTATGACAAAAACAAAAATAAGTGTGTAAATGTGTGTACAGGTTCAGTCATGAGCTCACACAACCTGCAAATTTTGCTCCTCTCTCTGTTTTATTCAGCTGGATATGTCATGATTCAAGTAAGTAAAGTGACTTAAATATCTTTTTTAGTTATTATAGCAATGTCTAGAATATGTAGATATTTAGTTACTGTACATTAGTGCTAGTTTTAGTGGATTTAATACTAGTACTTATGTATATTTTGGTTTATTTTCTTTTATCTTTTCCTCTGATATTCCTTAAATGTTTGCAGTATTCCCTCGCCGTTGTTACTATGCAACTTTCCCGACTGCAGGATTAATAAAGGCTTATCTTATTTTAGCTTATCTACTGTACATTTATTCGCTAGTATTGCAATTTAATACATCTGTGTGTGAGTGGTAGTAAAAGTAGCATCTTACATGTTCACATAAGGGAAAAAAACAAAAACATACTACTAATAGAGCTAGAAAAACGTATTTTCTCTATTAACATTTTGAGTTTACACCAGAATTGAATGATTTTATAAATTATTTCTGGTTGCAGCACTTGAATATTTTTCTGTAGCGGTATGTGTGTCTCTATCAGTTTTTGAAAAGTACATTTAGTGGATGAATCTGGGCTCATTGCTTGCTGAATGAGGCAGAAACAGGGTCGGGGGATCTTTGTGGATTTGTTCGGGTGTGAACGTTCTTCAATGTGCGGATGTAAGTGCTCTGGAGCAGCTGCATGTATTTGTTTAAGCAGAGAGCACAATAGGCTAGCCAGATAGTATTGTGTGTTTTCTGTAGAAAGTT